AGAGTAGGACGGGACCACGAAGGGCAGAGACTGGGCCACGAAGAGCGACAGCGGGGCCACGAAGGGCATGCATATGGGGCCACGACGGGCGCGAACGAGCGGGGGCCACGAAGGGCATTCAGATATGGGGCCACATACGTAGTGAAGGGCATCGAAGGCGACCGCGGAACCAGTACGGGCAGCGAGGGGCATCGAAGGCGGGCGAAGGGCAGCGAGCGGGGACTGCGGTCCCTAATGGGCTGGTTGGGCGGGCAGGCCCAGACGGACGCGTCGAGCGGGCGGGCCTCTGAAACGCAAGTTCCATTTGAACCGCCAGGCGATATGTAGCGGAAGCGCGATTCCTGGGTGTCCAGGAACGGCATCATAACCGCATGCCGATGATAATAAAGGGACCCCCCCCTTCAGTGTTTAGAGTTGATTATCGTCGCCCTATACAAAATTCAAATTGGGCGGCGAGCGCTGAGGCCGAACTTCACTATCACCTCGAAGCGCTATGTTGAGATAGCAACATCAAGCGATGTTGATATAGCAACATCAAGCGAAGCGATCACACTTTTTCAGGATGTGTCAAGCGAAACCAATAATTTTGGGAGGCAGACTCAAACGAAACGAGCAATGTTCTTATTGTTATTATACGTTCCCCTTCTTCTTTTATATTTCTATATGTCCTCACGCTCGCCTGAACTTTTTTATCCCTGGGGTTGATTATCCATGGCAAATGAAGCACATGAGCTACCCTACACGAGAACTTAAAACATCAATTTTCATAAAGCGCTTGTGAATTAAAATTTATAGATTTGGAACTTTGGATGTTTCCTTTCTTCGTCCTCTTCTTATTATCATATTCTTCTTCTTTCTTATTGTTCTTCTACTGTATTCTTCTTCTTTCATATTTCTCTCTGTCCCCACGCTCGCCTGAACTTGTTTATCTCTGGGGTTGATTATCCATGGAAATTGAGGCACATGAGCTACCCTACACGAGCACTTACAAAAAAAATCATGAGAGATAAGCCATTGTTGAATATATTTCTATGAAAACTAAACGCCAAGGATGTCTCAAAACGTGCTCGGCTTGGTCTCCTCTTGATCATCTCTTACTTCGAGATTATGCTGAGGTCTGCTGGGCTACTTTTATTATCTCTCCCTGAACCCCGAACTTTATTATCCCCTAGTGTTTATTCTCACGGGCATGAGGTTGAAACATTGTGAGGGAGTATCAGGCGGGAGCCGCGATTCGGTGGTAAGTTGCGAGGAAGTCGTAAGCGAGAACACGATTCTTCAATAAACTGTGAGGAACTATCAGACGGGAGCCGCGATCAGGTTGTAAATCGCAAGGAGGTCCCAAGCGAGAACGCGATTCTTCAATAAAATGTGAGGATGTATCAGGCGGGAGCCGCTGTTGCTGTAAACTGGGGGCCAACGATACAGTTTGACCCTCAAGACTTTCCTTGATAAAAAACCAGGTGCGAGCCCGGGAAGGGCACTTCAATCGACAAACAACGTGCACCGGCCAGGGGGATCAACAACAAGTATTTTTTTCAGAAATGACAACTCAACAACCACAATACTTTTAATATGTTCGCCCTTATCTGCTCGAAACTCCAATAACGCGTGTTTCCCAAACACTCGATACCCGCCCTCTTGTTCTTCGATCGAACCTCTTTTGAGGGGTATACCTTTTTTCCCAGCAGGCCGGGCCCCGGCAAGCGGCGGGGCGACCGCGGACCGTCGGCCTGGCCAGCGGCAGCGCTGATTGGCGGGGCGGCCGCGGACCGTCCACGACGACGACGACGTCGACGACTACGGCGACGACGAGCGAAAGTGAGAGCGAGAGAGAACGACAGCAGGGCCACAAGGACACGAAGTAGGCCACGAAGGGCGACAGCAGGGACACGAAGGAAATGCGTATGGGGCCACGAAGAGCGCGAACGAGCGGGGGCCACGAAGGGCATACGTATATTGGGCCGCGGAGGGCAATGACGGGGCCACTGAGGGCAGCAACGGAGCCACGAAGGGCAGCGAGGGGGCCACGAAGGGCGACAGCGGGGCCACGAAGGGCAGGAAGGGAGCCACGAAGGGCGACAACGGGGCCACGAAGGGCATGCGCATAGGGCCACGACGGGCGCGAACGATCAGGGGCTCCGAGGGGTAGATCACGCGGGGCCACAGAAGGCAACGACGGGGCCACTGAAGGTAGCAACTGGGCCACGTAGGACAGTGAGGGGGCCACACACGGCGACAGCGGGGCCACGAAGGGCACGCACATGGGACCACAACGGGCGCGAACGAGCGGGGGACACGAAGGGTATACGTAGACTGGGCCGCGGAGGGCAAGGACGGGGCCACTGAAGGTAGCAACGGGGACACGAAGGGCAGCGAGGGGGCCACGAAGGGCGAAAGCGGGGCCACGAAGGGCATGCATATGGGGCCACCACGGGCGCGAACGAGCGGGGGCCACTATGGGCATGCAGATACGGGGCCACGAAAAGCAGCGAGGGGGCCACGAAGGGCAGCGAGGGGGCCGTGAAGGGCTGCAACGGGGCCACGAAGGGCTGCGACGGGGCCACGAAGCAAAGCGAGGGGGCCACGAAGGGCTACAACGGGGCCACAAAGGGCAACGAGGAGGCCACGAGGGGCTGCAACGGGGCCGCGAAGGGCGGCGAGGGAGCCACGAAGGGCTGCAACGGGGCCACGAAACAAGGCGAGGGAGCCACGAAGGGCTGCAACGGGGCCACGAAGAGCAGCGAGATCCCGATTCTTAGGTAATCTGTGAGGGAGTCCTAAACGTGAGCGCGACTCCTGGGTGCCTGGGTGTCGGAGCGCGGCGCTGGAGTAAATTGCAAGAATTTCCAACGCAAGGACGCTAGTCTTCAATAAATTGCAAGCAAGTCTCCAGCGAGAGCGCGACTCCAGAGCGCCAGGAGAGCGATTCCTGAATAAATTGCAAGGAAGTCTCAAGCGAGAGAGCGTCTGAATAAAATGCAAGGAAGTCTCGGGCGGGAACGGGGATCCTGGCTAAATTGTGAGGATGTATCAGGCGGGAGCCGTTGTTGTTGTAACCTGGGGCCAACGACACTGTTTGACGCTCAAAACTTTCCCTGATAAAAAAACACGGTGCGAGCCCCGGGAAGTGCACTTACATCGAGAAAAAAACAATGTGCACCGGACGGGGGGATCAACAATCATTATTCTTCAGCAATGAGAGTTCAACAACAACATCACCATCATCACCAATAACAGCAGCAACACCAACAGCAACAACACAACCACAACCACAAGCACAACAACAGCAACAGCACCAGCACCAACAACAACACCAACGACAACAATACCACCACCAACAACAACAACAACAACCCACAACTACAACAACCACAACACCAACAATCCGCACCGCATAATCTCACTTCAGCCACGCGCCCAGGGACAGTGAATGACCGTTCGGCCCCCTCACTTTGACCATTCTTGAAAATTCCTCCTGTAGAGGGACATGCCCGACTTAACATTAGATGTCTACCTCGACGGCAAGCCAGGAAGAGTCAGAAGGCCAATGCCAGGATGAATGCGATGTTGGTCAACGGCGATGCTGGGAGTCTGGTTCTTGCGACGCCGAAACCGCGCAGAACGAAGTGCAGGAAAACAGGGTCAAGCCTTTCCTACGCTCGGGTTCGCCACGAACCACCCCCACCTACAGTACCGAAACCTACATCGCCGTAACCAACACCGCAGTTAGCGCGTCTACGGGAAGGGGCGGGATTTCTCAAAGGCTCGGAAGTTCCCCGTTCTAGGCCTGTCCCCAAAGACACAATAACAACTTCTCAGAAGGCGCGATGGCTTCCGAGAAATCCCGCCGCCGACTCCTTCTCGTTTCCCCCCTCGCTCGCCGCCCAGTACCAGCACCACTTCTGGACTGAACCTCTCCTTCCTTGCAGGGTCTCGCTGGCGATGCTGCGCGCGCATCTGCTGCGCGCAGTGTGCGGTCACGGCGCAGGTGGCTCACGACGACCGCGGGGGCCGGCACCGGGCAGCCTCCCAGGCCGTGCTTCCACAGGACCGTGCACGCCCCGCAGCGCGGCAGGGGCGATCCGCACGCGCGCTCCCGCAGCCCGCGGCTGCGCGACGTACAGATTCACAGGCAGCAGGAGAGGGACGGCAGAAGGCGGCCGCGGAACGCAGGCGGGGGGAGGAGGGCACTCGCCACGGAAGAAGTGTCGGCAGGAGTGGCCGGAACGGCAAGCCCGGGCTGGGGCGGCCCAGCCGTGGGCGCGGAGCGGCATCGCGACCACATCCAGGGACGGAGGCCAAGGCTCCAGGCGCTGAAAGCGTGGAGCGAATCGAGCCAGCACGTCTGGAGGAGGAAAGGCACGCGAGACCACAACGGCGACAGCGGCAACACCCAGGCGCCCGCCGGGAAGCATCCACAAAACACGCCCACCTCTGTAGCAGCGGTGACCGAGGACAAGCACGGGCGAGGGCGGAGAGGAGGGGCAAGGACACACGCAAACGTGCTTACAGACCCCGAAGGCCCGATGTCTGGTGCTTTTCAATACGGGCCCTCCGGAAGTCTCGACCCACCCTCTGGGACCGGCTCACCCTGAGCCCTCGTCTGACGGTCCTATATAGGGCCCAGCGAGGGCCCCGGGAGGCCGCAAGCGGCGAGATCCGGACTCTGTCTCTCCAGTGCGCCGCGTCCCTTGGCACTCACAGAGTGCGCCTGCCAAGCATGTCTGCAGACATGCCTCCAGGAGGCCACATGCGAGCACCACCCCACGTCCAAGGATTTCCTAGGAGGAGGTGGGGTCCTCTTCGCCTGGGAGGTCCCGAACGAAGTGGACCAAGCCTCCCCTCTTCGAGAACGTGGACCTCACGACCCTCCTCCTCCTCCTCCTCCTCCTCCTGCTCCTCCTCCTCCTCCTCCTCCTCCTCCTCCCTCCTAGCCTCAGGACCCGCTTGCCTCGCTGCGACGTGTGCAGGGAATCCTCCGCTCAAGCCGCAGGCCCTCAGACCGACAAGACCCGCGGGCTCGGCGGAGCGGTGGGGCCCGACTCCTGCGGCGTGGCAACGCTGCACCGCGAAGTACGGCGGGAGCTGGTACGAGGTGTTCCTCGGAGGGACACGGTGCATGTGGGCAAGATGGATGTAAACACGCTTAGATATTCACATGCAGAAGCATATACATGCATAATTGCATACACATGCACGCACATACATGAATTACTAAATTAATTGTTTCATCAAGTCATACATTCGTGTATACATGAATACATACAAACACATGTACAAGCATACAAGCATGCATACATACACACATCAATCTATAGATTCGCATATGCAACCGTACAATGATGCATACATACATATATACAAACATACATGCAATTTTACACACACGTACACATACGTACGTGTAAACTCAAATGCATGCGTGCATGAATGCTTGCATGGATGCAAGCAGGCATGCATGGTTGCGAGTAAGCATACATAGATGCGTACTTACAAACATATATGCATACGTGCACACATGCATCCACACATGCGTAATGCATACAGACATGCATGCATACGACTATGCACCAACATACATACAAACACGTATGCACAGACACGCGTATACACATACCTACATGCAGACATTCCTACATACGTGCCACATGCACAATCATACGTGCATGCATGAATACATACCTGAATGTAAGCATTCACTCGTCCATCCATACACACATACAGAGACATGCGCATGAATACCTTCATACAGGCATATTGGCATGCAGACATACTTCGACAGACACGCACAGATGCACATCGACATACACACATACACACATACACGCATGAATGCATACATACATGCACGCATGCATACTGCATACAATAATACATACACCTATGCATGCATACACATAACCAGACATACATACATGCATGCATGCATGCATGCATGCACACATACATACATACATGCATACATGCATTCTCACATACATTCGTATATGCCTGAATGCAAGCAAAGGAGCATGCAAATGTACACGTACATAAATGCGTTGATACATACATACACCTCAGCATACATACATACATTCATACATGCATACATACAAACATACATATACACATGCATGCGTGCACATACATATATATACACATGTATACATCCACAACGTTGTGGATGTTTCGGTTACTTGCGCGCCATGCCCGAGACGCTGTGGATATGGAACGAATCTTGCCTCTACTACTCGGGCGCTGGCAGGACTGGATTTAGTGGGACCTGGTTTACACATGCATGAGATGAGAAAGACTGAGCGCCCCTGGCGGCGCCTCCGGCGCCACGCCAAGAAATCCGTGCGGACCGAAACACGTTTATGTTGATGGCGTTATGTCTGCGAAAAACAAGTAGAAACAAGTAAAACACGTTTCCTGTTTCGGATTCGTATGTATGTCTTCGTTGTTTCATAGGTGTTTGTGTTTTTATATGTTTTTGTCCCCCTATGGCGACTCTCAGAAGGCAAGGGTCTTCTCTCGGGGATGGACAGACCCCCCTTTAGTAAAACGTGGTTTAGTGAAAACGACCTAAAGCCCAAACCTGGCGGGCGCAAGCCTGGAAAATCACGGCCATGGCGCCCTCTCGAGAACCGAAAACGGACAATTCACTAATCGACGTGTCACTGTTGGAGCTCATCCCGGAGGCCCCTGGCCCCTCTGGGAGGCCCCCCCCCTGGCCCTCTCTAGAAGCCCCCCCCCCGCCATCCTCCGCGGGCCGTCACCCTCGCCCGGCCGCCCCCCGATCAACGAGCGCGATCCACGACTCGCAGAGCAGCGACTCTCAAAGAGTCCTGGTTCGGTCATGTCCTCCTACAGGGGGGGTTTTGGATGACAAATAAAAATAATCAAACAAACGCGGATCTATTGTCATTTTTGATATTCCGCCTGTAGAAGGACAGGTCCAACTTCAAAATAGTCCGAATCCGCCAGGCTTGAATGACTGTTGGTTTCCCTTTTTCAATGGTCAGCTGTAAAACCTGATTGCTTGCGTCATACGACGGGGGCCACGACACCCTCCATCGATGCAGACATGTGTGCCTTCCTCTCGGGCGGCTGCGAGAGGGCACCTTGGCGAGCAGTGGGACGCGCTCAGTGACCCTCGCGCCCGCCACGGCGGCACTGCCCCGAGCTCTGACGCCCGCATGTGTCCGCGCGGGGCCACAGGAAGCCTCGGCCCCACGCGCCAGGACGGCGCGCCGACGGCCACGGCGCCGACGCCGCCGGCACGGTGAAGAAGAAGAAGAAGAAGAAGAACAACAACAAAGCGCCTCCAGCGCCGCAGGGGGGGGGGGCCCAGGCGCGGGTCGAAGAGATCCGCGCGGAGCGCCAAGAGTTCATGTCTATGGCGCTTCTGTTTCCCTCTCTTGGCTCAGGTCTGGCATGTCCTCCCACAGGCGGACTTTGGAGGAAAAATCAAAGTCGGCCCAACAATACCCAGAAACACGGCCCGACAAAATCTCGAAACGTCATGCCCGGCGACAATTTGTTACTTCTGAATATTACCCCTGAAGATTGAGCAGGGACCGACCGTCCGGGCATTCCTATAGGCCTATCACGACATGTTCCTAGAACCCAGAACTGCTCCGATAACAAAAACAATGTTGTTAGAACAGGAACCCGATGGGTTAAAACAAAAACAGTCCAAGCCAGCACTGTTCTAAGTACACCTCGGGCAAACCACAAAAGGTTCTTAGAACATTGTCTGGTAGACCGCTAGGCACGCCAGGAAGCTGCGCCACTGCTTGAATATGAAGGGCCCTGGGACACACACACACACACACACACACACACACACACACACAAATACACACAGATAACATGACTCCCCATATTTTCCAGTACTCTCTGGGATCTTTTCTTCCCCCACTTCCCGTATGCTCCCACATTCTCGTGGGAATCGACGATTCATTGTGTCTGTGTGTTTTTTCCCCTCCTGATGATAGAGGCCTCCTAGATGGGGTCCGAATCGATGGGGTCGGAGGATCGCGCCGAATCGCCGATACATCGCCGATGAATCGCCGATGCATGGCCGATGCATCGCCGATGCATCGGCCATGCACTGGCGACGTCGGCGGTCCATCCACGACGCCCGCGCGGAGAAAATTGGGCCCCACATCGAGCCGCATCGCCGATGCATCGTCGATGCATCGGCGATGCGGCGCGATCCTCCGACCCCATCTACTCCGACCCCGTCCAGGAGGCCTAGAGATGACTGCAAGAGCAGGCCCGACTGCAAGCTCCGGGCGGGGCCCCGGCAACGCCGCCGCCGCGGCGGGGCGCCGCCGCACCCGGAGACCGCCCCCCTCCCTCCTCCCTCCCCCATCCTCCCTCCTCCCTCCTCCCTCCTGTGTGCTTTTTCCCCTCCTGATGACTGCAGGGGCAGGCCCGACTGCAAGCTCCGGGCGGGGCGGCGGCGAGTGCCGCGGACGGCGCGCCGCGCCCGAGGGCCCCCGCCGTGGGAGCGTCGCCCTCGCCGGGCGGGGCCCCGGCAACGCCGCCGCCGCGGCGGGCCGCCGCCGCGACCCGGAGGCCGCCCTCCTCGCTCCTCCCTCCCCCCTCCTCCCTCCTCCCTCCTCTCCTCCCTCCTCTCCTCCTCCTCCTCCCTCCTCCCTCCCTCCTCCTCCCCCTCCCTCCCCCCCCTCCCCCCGTCCTCCTCCACCTCGCCCCCTCCCTCCTCCCTCCTCCCTCCTCCCCTCCTCCCTCCTCCCTCCCCGCTCCCTCCTTCCTCCCTCCTCCCTCCTCCCGCATCTGGACACGTGCGCTCCCAGTAACCACTCGCAGGTGGCCTCGATGTGGACATGTGTGTGTGTGTGTTTCGCACGTTTTTGCGAGCAGGGACTCTGCGAGCCGTGAAGCGCGCTCGGTGAGCCCCGAGCCGTGACCTGACGGCCCCGGTGGGGCCGGGCGAGAGCCTCTCGGTGCCGGCAGCGGCGCCGCACCTCCGCCTCGCGCGCTTGCCACACGCGGGGTCTCGTAGGTCCGCACGGGGCTCTTGGATTCGCGCTGCGCCCCGCTGGACTTTCCTCCCTGGGCTCGCCTCTTGGATCTGCCCAGCGCGCGGAGCGCGCCGCGCCGGAGGCGCCGTCAGGGGGTCCCAGCGCCGAGCACAGAGATCAGCGCGAGCCGCAAAGAGAGTACGGTGACGCCGTTGTGCCATGCCTTGCTCTTCGAGACGCTGCTCGGGCGCCGGCAGGAGTGGGGTTAGAGGGACCCGGCTTCTGGATGCGTGAGATGTAAGAGCTACCCAGCCACTCGGCCAAGAGAGTTTTGCTAAGCTAGCCTCCGAACTGCATCGGGCTCAAAAGGGGTAGCGACAGGTCGATGCTGGGAACGCTGGTCGAGCTTGCCATGGCAGAGCTCGACGTCGGTGTCCGCGACAGCAAACGTCTGGGACCGATGCAAGCTGGACATCGGAATATGGCCAATAACTCGCCAGACGTGACGCGATGTTCTCAACGAAGCTTGTGTTTTTTTGGTCACTGTTGACCGAACCAGTTCACATAGCGGCTGACAGGCAGCCACTCTGAACTATTGCAGAGGAAAGACAAGCACGCAACCACAAGTGCCCAAAGGGCACCCTTGGCCATGCGTCTGTCAATCATGCATTAGTCTGACCCCGACTGTGACCCGTGACGGCACGGAACCTGAGGCGCCTCATCCTCCTCGCTGCGAAGCAAGTTGGACACAGTCCGCCACTAATAGAGGCCTCGCGCGGATTTGAGCCGCGATCGCTGGATTCAGAGTCCAGAGTACTGACCGTTACACCACGAGGCCAATTTCAACGAAGCTTGTGCACAAACACGGAAGAGCAAACATGCCAGCTGCAGCAACTCCACCAAGCCACGATGCAGAGACTCATGCGAGGCAGGCCGGATGTGGAAGCGGCGGGCTGAGTCCTGTAGGCCTACTACGAAGTGCTCTTCGAGGCCCAAGATGTTCTAAGAGCGAACACAGCGCTCTACGAACATAATTGAGGGATGACAAAACGACCCTACCCTGGGTTACAAGTGCGTGGTCTGTAAACCTCCTGGGAACCCCTTAAAGCCTAGAGCCGCCAGGACGCGGCACACCACGCAGGGTTTACCCTGTCAGCCCACAGGAGTTTCAGCGCACAGCGCCTCGTAAACCAGGGTAGGGGCGTGTTTGATGCCCTTGATATAAGCCCACTGTGTCAGAACAAGACGGCCTCAGCCAGAAATGATTCAAATTAATTGCGTGCAGACCACGCATGGCTCGCAGAACAGTCCTCGAGGGACCTATGGGCAAGCCAAGAGCCTTCTTCGCCACTGCGCGACATCTCCGAACCGTCGGGGGCGGCCAAGAGGGGGGTGTCCAAGAGGGGGGTGCAAATCATGGCCGGCGGCATGTGCGCGGCCCAGGGGGGGAGCCAGGAACGTATTGAAAGAAGAAGAGGCGCCATCAGATCTGGAGAGATATCATGGCCCCCGCCATGATATACATCCCCCCCTACTCATCACCCCCCTCTTGGCCGCCCTCCGAAACCGCTTCTCCCTCCTCCGATCCGTCGCCCCTGCCCCGCGGCGGCAAACCCGCTCGGCGGCGCTCCTTGCGGCGCCGGCACGTCGAGCGAGCTCCGGACCTCGGACGGGGCGGGCTGGAGCGGCGGTATCTCGACGATGGCCACCCTGGCGGGAGTGCTGGGAGTGTGCGGGGGCGGCGCGCGGGCGGGCTGGTCCTCCTCCTCCTCCTCCTCCTGCTCCTCCCCCTCCTCCTCCTCCTCCTCCTCCTCCTCCTCCTCCTGCTCCTCCTCCTCATCATCATCATCCTCATCCTCTTCCTCCTCCTCCTCCTCCTCGTCCTCGTCCTCCTCCTCCTCCTCCTCCTCCGCCTCCTCCGACTGTCGCCGCCAACGCCCCCTCTCACATCTCCTCCTCCTCCTCCTCCTCCTCCTCCTCCTCCTCCTTCTCCTCCTAACCCTTCCCCCCTTCCTCCTCCTAACCCCTTCCCCCTCCTCCTCCCTCTCATCCTCCTCCTCCTTCTCCTCCTCCTCCTCCGCCTCCTCCCCTCTCCTCCTCCTCCTCTCCTTCTCCTCCTCCTCCTCCTCCTCCTCCTCCTCCTCCCCCTCCCTCCTCCTCCTCCTCCTCCTCCTCCTCCTCCCTCGCTCCTCCCTCTCCTCCTCCTCCTCCTCCTCCTCCTCCTCCTCCTCCTCCTCCGTCCTCCTCCTCGTCCTCGCCTCCTCGTCCTCCTCGGTCTCCCTCCTCCGCCTCCTCCGCCTTCTTCGCCGCCGCCGCCGCCGCCGCCTCCTCCTCCTCCTCCTCCTCCTCCTCCTCCGCCTCCGCCTCCTCCTCCTGCTCCTGCTCATTCCTCCTCCTTCTCTCCTTATTATTATTATTATTCATCTGTCTATTATCACTAATCGCATGTTTCGTATTATTACTCGCATTATTATTAGTGGCCTTGTTCGTATTATTTCTACGACAAATCATATAAATATTGGTATGTTTGATATTAGTTGTGTTTAATGGTTTATGCTTACTTCTACTTTCATTGTTGGAATTATTAGTATGCTTACTCTTCATATAATTATCATGCTTCATCTCCACCGTATTATCATTATTACTAGTACTATTGTTCTTCCTCCTACACCTCCAACTCCTCCTCCATCTCCTCCTCCTCCTATTCTTCCTCCTCCTCCTCCTCCTCCTCCTCCTCCTCCTCCTCCTCATCATCATCATCATCATCATCATCATCATCATCATCATCATCATCATCATCATCATCAGCAGCAGCAGCAGCAGCAGCAGCTCTCATCATCATCATCATCATCATCATCATCATCATCATCATCATCATCGTCATCATCATCATCCCCCCTCATCCCCCTAAACTCATCCTCCTCCTCCTCTCCTCCCTCCTCCTCCTTCTCCTCCTCCCCCCCCTCCTCCTCCTCCTCCTCCTCCTCCTCCTCCTCCTCCTCCTCCTCCTCCTCCTCCTCCTCCTCCTCCCCCTCCCCCTCCTCCTCCCACTCCTCCTCCTCCTCCTCCTCCTCCTCCTCCTCCTCCTCCCCCTCCTCCTCTCCTCCTCCATAAACACCCTACATAGTTACTAGTGCTCCTCCACATGTCCCTCGTTTCCTTAGCCGGCGCAGACGCATGAGCGTAACATGTCACAGGGCTGCGCGGATTTCTTGGATGGCGCGGTTGGAGGCGCCGCCATGGAGGTCCAGCGCAGAGCCAAGAAATTGTGGTAATTCTTGGTTGGTGATTCGACTCCTTCACTCATCTTCCTGGTTCTCCTCCTCCTCCTTTTTCTCCTCCCTCCTCCCCCCATACCTTGCTGCCACCTTCCCCTGACCCCTCTCTGTCCACCTTCACCTCCCCACCCCGTCCGCCTCTTCTTCCTTCCCTCCCTCCGACCATTTCGTCCCCCTCGACGTACCCCTCCCCCCATCACCCTCCTGCTCTCCACTCTCCACCTCTCCTCTTCTGCTCCCCGCAGACCGGAACTGTCGCCACACGAAATAACAAACCAGCAACTAGAATCCACATTTGGGGCTTCGGGGCCCAATCACTAACCGGCTCCCTCCCCTTAACCGAGGTCCTGGCTGTACCCGACTTCTGCTTCCCACCCCTCTCTTCCGCCCCTCCGGCCCCCGTCATTCTGCTCCTCCTGCCCCAACGCCATCTGCCTCCAGCCACCCTCCTTGAGATCCTGAACGCCTGCCCTCCGTCCCACCCACCACTCTCTTCTCGGCCCCCTTCCTGGGGCCGCCCTGGGACTTTCGGCCGAACGTCCTGGCGTCTGCGTCGACATCCTCCGGCCGGTCCTCAGGGGGGGTATAAAAAGTGCCAGTGCCGCTCCTCCCCAAACCTTTCCAAGGTGGCGTTTTGACCAATCTGAACACGAATCCAGCCGTGGCGACGAGGCAATGGGAGCGGCATCGCCTCGTGTGCTCATCTGCACCCGTCTGTCAAAAGAACTGGTTAGAAGCATGAAGAAAGAGGGCGTTGGAAGCAGATTGGGCTTCCGCTCGCCCCCTGAGGAATAGGGGAAAGTGAAGCCACTCGACCAGTGAAGTAAGAAGGCGCCTAAAAGTGGATTGGGATCAGAAAATCAAACAAGACCTACTTTCAATGACGCTGGTGAGTATACATGTATATGTATGCATGTGTATATGTATGTGTATGTGTATGCGTATGTAAATGTATATACGTATGTGTATGGATCTATGTATGGGTGAGGTGCAAATCTGCTCGGCTGGTCCCCCCTGCGTGCAAATTAAATTTTCCAAATCAGTGGATTTGGGTAACGAGTGTGACATCAACTTTCTTCATATAGAAATGCAGCGAGACATGAAGGAATGTAGATTCGGAGGACTTGTAGCGGGGGTGCGAATCGGAGGACAGCGCCATACCATGGTCCTGCCAAATAGGTTTCAAAATCTGGAAACTGCCCCCCCCGAAACAACCATCGAAAGTGATTACACATTCGGTATCGATTATTGGACCGCAGACTCTCCCCGCACTTTTGGGACTCGCCACGCCATGCTATGTCAAGCTACGCGTTCATGTTCAACACCATGCTATGCCATGTAATGATATGCCCTGCCACGACATCCGACTGTGCAAATAGAGAGGATATCTACGCCATGTAAGGGATGGGAGGGAGGGGTAGGACGTCAGATATGACGCGAGCGCACCTAGCTTGCCTCCTCTCCCTCCTCCCTCCCCCCGTCCTCACCTCTGCTCTCCGCATGTCTCTGTATCGGCACGCCCCTCACGCGTTTTGTTTCCCCATGGGGAACTCCAACGAAGGCCCCAGTGGCACGGTTCGCATGGCGGCCCCGCTCCATGTTGGCGCATCCCTCACGCGCTTCGTGCCCGATAGGGAGCTCCACCGAAGGCCCCAGAGGCGGGGTTCGCATGGCGGCGCCGCCCCATTTCGAAACACCCCGCACTCGGATCGTGGCCCAATAGGGAGCTCCACCGAACGCCCCAGCGGCAGGGTTCGCATGGCGGCACCACTCCTTCGGCGCACCCCTCACACGTTTCGAGGCCCCACCGGGAGCTCCACCGAACGCCCCAGCGGCAGGGTTCGCATGGCGGCCCCGCTCCACTTCGGCACACACCTCACACGTTTTGCGGCCCCACCGGGAGCTCCACCGAACGCCCCAGCGGCAGGGTTCGCATGGCGGCCCCTCTCCACACGTTTCGCGGCCCCACCTGGAGCTCCACCGAACGCCCCAGCGGCAGGGTTCGCATGGCGGCCCCGCTCCATTTCGGCAAAGCCCTCACACGTTTCGCGGCCCCACTGGGAGCTCCACCGAACGCCCCAGCGGCAGGGTTCGTATGGCGGCCCCGCCCCATTTCGGCGCACCCCTCACACGTTTTGCGGCCCCACCGGGAGCTCCACCGAAGGCCCCAATGGCAAAGTTCGCATGGCGGTCCCGCACAATGCCTGCACACCCCTCAAACGTTTCGTTTCCCCGCAGCGGGTTCATCGAAGGCCCCAGTGCAGGGTTCGCATGGCGGCCCCGCCCCAGACCCCATAGGGAGCTCCACCGAATGCCCCAGTGGCCAGGTTCGCATGGCGCCCCCGCCCCACGTCGGCGCACCCCTCACGCGTTTGACGGTCCCACGGGGAGCTCTCCTGAAGGCCCCAGTGGCAGGGTTCGCATGGCGGCGCCGCCCCATGTCGGCACTCCTTGTACGCGGCTCGTGGTCCCATAGGGCGCTGTACCAAAGGCCCCAGTGGCAGGGTTTGCGCGGCGGCCCCACCCCCATTTCGGCGCACCCCTCGCGCGCTTCGTGATCCCATAGGGAGCTCCACCGAACGCCTCAGCGGCAGGGTTCGTATGGCGGCCCCGATCCATGTCGGCACACCCCATCACACGCTTTGCGGCCCCACCAGGAGCTCCACCGAAGGCCCCAGCGGCAAAGTTCGCATGGAGGCCCCGCCCTAGTTCGCCCTCTCACCCCCCCCCCTCCCACGTCGCCTGGCTCCATACGGAAGCCCCGCCGGGGGCCCCAGCAGCAAGGTTCGCATGGCGGCCCCGCCCCATTTCGGCGCACCCCTCACGCGCTTCGTGGCCTCATAGGGAGCCCCACCGAAGGCCCCAGTGGCAGGGTTCGCATGGCGGCCCCGCTTCCATTTCGGCACACCCCGCGCGCGCTGTGGCCACATCGGGGACGCTTCGCGGCCCCATAGGAACTTCCACTGCAGGCCCCACTGGCAAGGTGCTCACGGCGACGCGGCCTCCATTCCGGAGCGCCCCGCGCACGCCTCTCGGCCCCATATAAAGTTCCACCGAAGGCCCCAGTGGCAAAGCTCGTATGCATTCCATTGATAATTGTGGCACGCCCCTAACATGTTTCGCAGCCCATAATGGGCTCCACCGAAGGCCCAATGGCGCGGTTCGCACGCGCCCCCCAACAGCCCCAGCCCACGCCGGCACGCCCGACACACGTCTCGGGGCCCCCATGCGCATCGCCCCGTGCGTCATTCCTTGTGCGGCGCGTTGCCTACGAAGAGAACGTCGTACAACACGTCGATCGCAGCTGCATCTGGCTGGAACCCTTCGGCGCGTTACTCTTGGTAAAAAGAAGCCGTTCCTCATTCGCTCAGATCGAGAGGATACTGAATGCCTGCATAGTGTTCGAATAAATCAAACGATGTAAATTCATGAAAAGATTCAATTCCGAAACAGCTGTCAGTACTTTGTTGAATTATCGACTTAGGTTAAAAAAGCGCCCACTTAATCTCAATGTTGCATGTACTCGGTCCACGCATATGGTTGTTATGTATGTATGAACGATGCGTGGACAATACAAGCACTCACGATGCGCATAGTCAAGTTGATCGTTCAAGACGAATAACTGAAGAATTCATCTGGAATCAATGCCCAGAAGCAACATGTGAAATAGTAGCACAGCCCCCATGGCCAACGCGCGCCAGGAAGTGCGACGAACGCACCAAAACAATCATAAGTCTATACCTTGCGATTGGAATACGGCGCCCCTTACACCGCGCTACACAGCTGCCCCCCCCCCCCCCCCCTGGGCTCCACTTGAGAAAACGCGGGGAAATATAAAGGTCACGTTGAACCATGACATGTCAACAGGGAGTACGCGTGCACATGTACCATCCTCATCATCTTGAGCACATCACGCTTTGCAGAGCTCGGAAACGCATCAACGCTCCGTGCAGGCGGCGGCTCATCGACCGATCCGCCCCAGATTCAAAGGGGTCCGCTTGACCTTCATGGCCGACGGCCTCCTCGGCACAACGCGCTCAGAAACGACGCGCGCGGGGGCCGCGCCTGGCTTGCGGCGGGCGGAAGGTCGGAACACATTGCGATTATCCGCCCACTGCTTCGCCAGTGGCCCGCCGGCTGCTCTTCGGCAGACGCGCCCTCGACGGTGCGCCCCGACGCCAACGCCGCGCAGACAATGCGCCGCCGGGGGTCGCGAGCCGGCGGCCCATCGAAGTCGCGAGCGCTGTCTGCGGGGCGAGGGGTCTCATGGCCAGCGCACGCGTGGCCGCGTCGCGCGCAATCAGCTTGGCGCGCGAGATGTGAACTTTCCAGCGTCTGGAGATAGAGCTCGGCCCGGTTGAAGAACCACCTTTTCGCCTCGGCATGCAGCGCCTCTTTTTGCGACGTGGCGGAACCAATCAGCGCTTGATACATCCTAGGCAGGGAGTGGGACATCCGCGCGTCGTGGCAGAGGAACTGGGCTCGCCCCTGCGACGCGGCCGACCGCGGCGCATCGGCCATGGGGCCTCCCGCCCGCATAGCGGCGGCTCCCCTGAGATAGCCCGCGTGATTCATGCGCAGATCTCGTTCGAGCGATCGACAGAAAAATCTGCGAACGGCGAACAAACGGTTTGCGCATGTGGGCTCGCCCCAAAGCGATGGCCGCCATGACCTTGGTGAGTAGTGAAGCGGTGCCCCTGGGTGGCCCCTCGGGTTGCATGTCGTTGAGAAAGCGCTGTAACTCTAGACCAGGCATGCTGCCATTGCGCACGGCATTGCGGCCCTAGGCATGATGCGTAATCAGAGGTGGCGATGGCGCACGAGTATATACACGGCCTATGGATCGGGTTGAGTGTGAACGTCAGTATGGTTAAAGTTATTCTAAACCATGCGCGGAGCCATCTGTCCTGGCCTCGGCCTCGGCGTGCACTCGCTAGGTGTCAGGACGGACGCAGACGCCCCAGTCTATCTGAGAAGCGTGGCATTGCCGAGTGCCAGAGCGATCGCACAAGCACCGGTCAGATATCGGACCCGCGAAAATACGATAATGACCATGGAAGCGGCGTCATCGACCTTGAATAAGATCTGCAGCCACGGCGCATGCTTTCCCGAGAGCTGAAGGGCAAACGCGAGCAAGGCGCACCGGGCCCCAGGACAACCGAGCCATATTCTCGTACATATCTAGCAACTGGCCGTGCACATCACAAGGAGGCTCGTCCGTTGCAGTCGAGCGAGCCTGATTGAGAGCTGCGCATGGAAGACGCATCTGAATTATGTTATTGATGTTCCCCGCGGCCTCAGACCCGATCGGCCTTGCGCCTGCGACGGCTGCGGAGCGGCCGCGCACAGTGAGAATGCGCTTCTTGGCAACTGAATCATCAAATGGCGCGACGGCTCTCTTCTCTGCGGAGTCTCGGCAATTCGCCCGCCCTGCGTGGCGACGCCGATCGAAATGTGCACGAACTCATCGTGGTCGGGCAGCTGCTTAATCTGATGATCTCGCTCAGCTCGAGCGAACGGCGCGCTCAAGGAGCCCCCCAGTGGCTCCAGCCATGGGGGGTACCTTTCGCGGC